TCGAGGTCGAGTTGAACGTGACGAGGAACGAGGTCGAGGAGTACTTCGGTAGGGAGAGGTTCAAGTGCGAGTGCGTGGCATGGTCGGGACCAGGTCAGATTCGAGGGCAGCCCGCCACGGTTGAGGTCGCCTGTAAGTAGAGTACACTCCAATCTCTCCGTTCGTATTTTCTATCCCTCCTCTGTTCCCCTCCCTTTTCTCCGCGGACTCTTTTCCGTGCCCTCCGATGCTCGATTCGCGTGGATCTCGCGGAATTGGCATCTCGATTGGACGTCTTTTAATGCATACTGATATTCCTCGGATGTAGAGCGGAAAAGTGGGGAAGTTCGAAAGGTCAGGGGTATAAATGGAATTGAAAAGTGCACGTCGGTTTCAAAGATAATTTTGAATGTCTCGAAGCTTCGGTAGCTCGTGGAAGTGCACCAAGATGAAATTTTGTTCTTCACCTACGCGTTTTTCCTCGTAGATTCACCCTCTTCCGATTGTATCAGTCTTACGGGGAGACACCCCGTATTCTTCGCAGTTGATTTAGAAGCGTGGAAAGTTGTTGCGGAGACATTCTGGGGCGAATTAACATATATATGCTGGTATGACTCAGAAGGGGAGCTTATGATCCGTGGGGCGCAAAACGCCGGGGCTGTTGAGTGTAAACGGGTCTCGAACGTTAGCTTCCCTTATCGAAGAGGATCCTCGGGACGTCGGTAATTGGTGTTAATCTGCTGTTCATTCAAGGATATTTAACCCTCGTATCCTAAGCGACTTCATTCATCTCCCCGCGCGACGGTGCACGAGTCGATTCCGAACATCGCGAACAACCTCTGGCTTACAACCGTTTCGAACGAGTCCGAACGCAGCCGCGTCTGAATCACAATTTCACGCTTGAAGTTTGAATCAAAAAACAATTCCAGCACAATCAGATACTCCGGCCGCCGATTGTAAGGACGCGCGCCGGACAAATTACATTCTTTGAACCGCTTTCGCTTTGACTTTCATTCTCCGCAGGAAGCAATACCGATTCCGCGTTGTAGGATACCGTTCAGGAAAAACGAGAATTGAAAGGCAAGCTGCGCCGCGCCGTGGTTCTCTGCTAAACCGATTCACGGGTTACCGTTCCAATTTGCATGGCGGCGATACAACGGGTCCCGGGCCGAAAAATCGCGCAATACCCGATCGAAAGGTGGTCAGGACGGTTCTGTATTCACGGGTGTTTGCCTTGCAATGGAATATCGATTAGATTTTCGACTCGGCTCACGCGTCACGAAATATCGGGCGAAAACAACCGGTGGCCGCCCCCCGTTAGCCCTCGTCGACACCGAGCTTACCGGGGCGGATCTCGCGTATCAAACGATATCTCGGGCCGACCCCATCGCCGTCGCTAATCGGGTTAATGAAGTTACGTTTTACGACCGATTCCAGGTGTCGGCCGTTTTCTCGCTTCCCAGCCGACCCCGGTTTTCGCACCCCCGCGGCACGGACACGGTACAATTACGCGTTCGCTCCTGTCCGACGTTCGCACCGCGCGCCGATCGCTTATACAGGGGAATCAGAATTATGGAAACTATCGGCCGACGGTGTTCCGTTTAATTACGGCTCCCTCCCTTGAATTTGAATTCCGGAACCGGGGGAGACCTTGGCCTCTTCATTATTGACTGCCCTGTACATTAGCGAAATTGATCTCGAAATTGGCTGTGCGGCCGACGCGGTTTTGTGAACTCGTCGAGCGCCATTAGCTGGGGGTCGGTGTCTTCTGTTGGGAATCCAGGGAAATGGAATGAGGAGTTCGTCATTTTTCGGTGAAGAATCTACTTTGTTGTTTGTTCTTCGAGTGAAAGATACTTTTCATGTTTCTACCGATCTTCGGATTTCAGTATCTTCACGAATTTTTGTATGTTTCCTTTAGTGATTATTATGTTGAGAAATATCGTTGTTTTCTTCGGGTCGCTAGACTTGATTTCTGATACTTTACGGCAGTAAATCGTGGAATCTTGTATCCGAATTCCCAGCAGATGGAACTTACGACATCGATAGGTCGACTCGAAGTTAGATTTCCCCGCGGAATAAGTTTCTTAATTTCAAATCGTCGCTCCACGCTAAAACTTTCTGTTTGCCCGTTTTCGAATCGTTCAATCTTCGAAAGAGTCCGGTTCGAGGCGTCGCGTCGCGTCGCGGAAAACGGAAGTGGATTGTTTTCGCGGCGCGTCCCGGCGCGACGGCCGCAGCTCGCGTTGGAAGAGCAATTTTCATTCAGAGAAGTCCGCGTCGCGCCGCGTCGCAGCGCGCAAACACGCGGCGCAAACAAGAAACAGAATTAAATCCGTATTTACGGGCAAACAGGAAACGGACGTGCTTTCGAGATTGAATAACGCGGTATCGATCGACGGTGTCTCTCGCCGCGGGACTACTTTCGTCCCGCTGTTGTCGCGGTGCGCGACGATCCTCTTTAGCGAGGTCCTATATGCGCAAATTAATCTCGTGATAATTTCGTCGCGCGACTGACGGTCACGGTTCGCTCGGAATTGTCAGGAAACTCTAGATCAAATGAGAATTCTTAAATTTTCAGTTGAATCACTGAAAGTTGATCTATATTTGAATTGTAGGGATTATTGAATTAGTTTCTCTAAATTTGACTCGCAAGTTGCAGGATTGATGAAGTATTGCAGTATTTATTTAATTAGAGTATATGGCAATAGAAAATTAATCTTGTGGCAATATCATCTCGCGACTTCCAAATCAGAATTCACTCGAAATTGTCAGGAAACTGTAGCCCAAATGAGAATTCTTAAATTTTCAGTTGAATCGCTGAAAGTTGATCTATATTTGAATTGTAGGGATTATTGAATTAGTTTCTCTAAATTCTATTCGCAAGTGGCAGGATTGCAGTATTGCAGTATTTATTTAATTAGAGTATACATCAATCAAAATTAATCCTGTGGCAATATCATCTGGTGACTTCCAAGTCACAATTCACTTGGAATTGCCAAGCAAATATAGCCCAAATGAGAATTCTTAAATTTTCAGTTGAATCGCTGAAAGTTGATCTATTTTCGAATAGTATGCATTGACTACGGAATTGACAAAGTATTGCAATAATTATTTAGCTGAAATTTACAATAATGCATCGCATTGCTGCAGCATTCCAAGGTGTCTAAACCGCATTTCCCCAAACACCGGTAGCACGTCAACCAGCACACACGGCACAGTAACAATCTTCTCCCGGTTAACGGTGCATTAATTAGATAAAATGATTCAGCAAGAAGGCCCGTGGGAAGGCCTCCTGGGTCTTCATCGGCAGGAAACGTTGATCAGCGCGTTACGCGCTCGGCTGATCGCCCGCGTTCTCCCATTCACGTATGGCGAATTAAAATGCAGTATGGCAGAGTTGGGCACGGTGTAATCTGATTATATTGAACATGATTAAAGTTCAATTACTATTAATCTACCATTGAAAACATTAATCATTATTCTAACTTATCTCATGATACAACACATCCTTACCAAAACTTTCAAATTCAATCAAAAATAATTATTCATTCTCAAATATAAATCAAGACTACTACGTGGTTAATCATTTATTCCAAAGAAATTACGCAGAAATTTGATATCTATCCTGTGCGTAGGTTTAATTCAAAGGACAACTGATAAAAAGTAATGTTTGATTTATATTTGAAAATAAACATCACTTTCCTATTATCACTTATCCTCCGAACTAAACCTACACACAGTATAAATATCAAATTCCTCCATAATTTCTTTGGATAATTTCTTAATTTTCAAACATAAATCAAACACCACTTTCCTATCATCAACAGTCTTCTGAACTAAACCTACTCACAGTATAAATACCAAATTCCTCCATAATTTCTTTAGATAATTGCTTGATTTTCAAACATAAATCAAACACCACTTTCCTATAATCCGCAGTCCTCCGAACTAACCCTACACAGTACAAATATCAAATTTCCCCGTAATTCCTTCGGAATAAATTATCAACCACAAACTAGCCCCGGTCCGCGCAGTTATGAAAGAAATCCCGTAGCAATGAGTTAATACGTGATTACATTTCCGCAATATGTCGGCATCGGCCGGAAAGTACGCAGTCTAGACAGCAGCGGGGTGCAAGAACGCAGCCGCGGTGCATCGGCGGTGGCCGCGGCGCATCGCTCGCCTCTTCACGAACGATATAAAAGCAGCTATTTTTCCCCCGCGCGCGCGTACACGCCGAATAATATAGCGCAAGCCGGACGAATGGCTCTCTGCCCCCGTGGCCGCGGATCGAGCGAGATCCTTTTCCGGCTCTCTCCTGCAGGCCCGGCAGGCTCGAGCACGGTTATACAGACGCGGCCCGTGAAAGCGGCCCTTGCCATTTATACGCTGCGCCCTAATATCGCTGAGTGCCCTACTCTCCCTCGCCGCCATTTCTCTGCTCCGTACCAGGCCTCGTCGACCTGACTGCTGTTCGACGGGAATATTAAACCTCGGACGCCGGTACCTAGGTCCGCTTCGACCCGGCCATTCGAAGGCTTCGCGTAGATTCTGGGCTTCTCGCGGTTCACTTGCGTTTGTTTACTATTCGAGTTGAACAAACGTATAGTTTGAGTTAATTGGAGATAGTTGAGTCCTTCCGATGAGCAGTGCGTTGATTTTCTAGGGAATCTTGCGTTACGATCAACGTAACATTGATTTTTTCTATTGGGAAATCGCTTGGTGTGAAGTAAGAATTTTAGGTGTTCCAAGGTATTGAGGTTAAATGAAAGTTTCTTATTCAGTTTTAATAAATGAACGACACGATTGTAAGACTTTCTTACGTAACTGTATAAAATCGTCGGGCTACTTAAGAATCAAAGTTCAAGACAATTTATCTATCATCCTTCGAAACGTCTAAGCGATTAGGAGAATATAAAGGAATATATCATGTGCATGACGCAGACCTGAAAAAGCATTTCCTGTCGCCGCCATACTCGCTGTCTGTGGAAGCCGGCCACAACGCGGAGCTGCGGTGCTTGCCGCCAATGGGGGTGCCGCAGCCGAAGGTCTATTGGCTGAAGAATGGCTCGCCCCTCGACACGATCAACGCGTCCACGACACCGCAGCCTGTCCAGCAGAGTAATCCCAACGACCTGTCATCCGCCGGAAACTTCGTGCAGACCGGTGAAGGACACCTGATACTCGCCGAGGCCGAGCTCAGGCACCAGGGGAATTACTCCTGCGTGGCGGAGAACATCGCTGCGAGGCGGGTCAGTGAACCGGCCGTGCTGACGGTTTACGGTGAGACAACACTTCGCCAATTCCGTGGGACCCAGAGTGAACACTCGCCGCGTGCGGTGTCCGCTTCGCGGAAATCGAAGATGGGAAAAGTTGTTTTAGATGATTCGAATGAATATTTACTTAAGATAACAGATATGGATGTTTGCACTATTCAATGGGATGACTTTTGAGGAACCTTTGTAATTTGTTTTTCTTAAGCAGAATTGTTTTATTATTTTGAGTGTTTAAGGAATTTAATCGTGAAGACGACGTGGAATAATTTGAATATTGTCAATTCATCGGACACTTTATTTTCTGCTGATCGAATTAAATTGGAGATAATTGTTCCTGTGAAATCCCATTCGATCGGCTGTTTATTCGTTAGTGTCGCGCGCAATCCATTCGTTACCCGAATGAAATTTCGCCTGTCGCTATTAGAAAGTATGACTGGCGGTTGTCGATAACTAGCTGGAATATTCTTTTAATCGTCGGAGGACGCTGCATCGGATCGGAGATTTAAGTAATTGTTGCACTCGGGGAATTCGCGATATCGGGATCCGATAATTTCGCGCTTGGAGATTGCAACCCGCATTCGTACGTAATCGTTTTTCGATTTTATCGTGAAACGTGTTGCAATTGAAGCATAATAGAATGAATGGCAGAGTTCCTTTTTCCCTCGGTACACGAAGATTTAATGGAATATTTTCGTTTTAATTGCCAGCCATACATTTGTACGCAGTTTTCCACTATAAAAATCGCAATCAAACAATTCGTTCATTCTTCTGTTATAAACTTATATATATATTAAATTACATCATATTAGAAACTGCGACTACAAAGCCAACAAAATTCATCAAAATCTCCTCAAAGATCAGCCACAAGAACCTACATTCACGTAAAAGAATCCATGATCTAACGACGGCGTAGATGATCACAGTAATCAGTGCTCCTACTCCCCTCGCAATATTATTTCTAATTACAATCTTTTATATACCGCGCACAACAATCTCGCGAAACTCGTGGCGGACTTCGATCGATTCAATTCCCGCGCGGTCGTGAAAAGACCCCCGATACTCGATTACCGCTCGGTTCGCGAGCCAATGGTGTTCCCGGGCTCTAACGTTCTCCCCCGGTTTATCCCGGCTTCGTTCCCAGTGAACGGCGGGTGGTCTTCCTGGTCGGGATGGTCGGAGTGCAGCACCCGTTGCGGCCGAGGTGTACAAAAGCGGACGCGTACCTGCACGAACCCGATGCCCATCAACGGGGGTCAGACCTGTCCAGGGCCAGCCACTCAAAGGTTCGAGTGCAATCCCTCCTGTCCTGGTAAGCGATTTAATTATAAAATCAACCCTTTGCACTCGAGGCTTTCTAAATCCACATCGATCCCTAACGAAACATCGATTACATCATCAGCGACCCTCTTACAAAGGAATCGGCCAGAAATTAAGGAACGCGACCGTTCCGGTATCTCGTATTTCACAGAACTTAAGATCGAACATGAAACTTGATCGCTCGGTTAAATCAAACCAATCGGCGACCGAGAGTCGCTTCTCGAGTGCAAAGGGTTAACAACGTGCCACGTCAAACGGCGTCCCGAACTTCGGATAGATCTAATCCCGCGACTCGGCGGACGTTTCTCTTCGCTAACGATATCGTCAAAGACGGGTACCTCTCGACCGCTGCGGAGTCCAGATGCAACAGCTCTGTTGTCTGTCCCTTCCCGACTCTATTTCCGCGCCCCGGCGGATCAGTCGAATCTGATAACCGCGATTTAATCGTGATTTTCAAGTTCACCCGTTCGCTTTCAGCGGTCGGCGGCAGATGGTCAAGCTGGTCCCCGTGGTCCGCATGCGGTCCCGATTGTTCCAGAGAGAGGAGGAGATCCTGCAACGACCCCCCGGCGAGCAATGGCGGTCGTTCCTGTGAAGGCAAGGCCGTCATCGTCGAGTCTTGTTCCGCGGATCGATGTAATGGTGAGCTCCAGCTGGGTTTCTCTTCTTCGCTCCGTTCTCTTTTCCCCTTTCCTTTCTTCCGTTCCCCCCTCTCTCTCTCTCTCTCTCTCTTTTGTTCGGTTTTCATTTGACTCTTTCCTCGTTGTTTTTTCCCCTGCCGATTTTGTATTCTTAACCGGTGACTCGGCCGGGCGGACAATTTATTACGGCCGATACGGGATCCTCGCGCGCGCGATCGACGCGTCCGACGGGATTGATACGATTTAAATTAATAATGACTCGCAGGAAGATCCGCGGATCTTTCTTGTTTGGAATTTTCGAGTCGTCCGAGGGTGGGGGGAAGGTTGCGGAGTAATCGTGTTCGATTAGCTGGTCGTTGGAGGCTTCGGATGCCTCCATTGTTAATCATCGGTAACGATATCCTCATGGTCCGCCTCGAATATTCGACGAGTAAATCGCTCGCAACGGTTGGGAAGATTAACGATGCCGGCGGAGCTGCTGTCCCTGGCACGTTCCGCTTGTTAACCCGTTTGCATCACTCGGGAGCACGAGAAATGCGAGCTGATAGGCGATCTTTTTTATCGCTTTCGGCTTGAGTATCTCGTGAAGTGAGGAATACTTAATTCTTCGCTAGTTTGGGAATGATGAATGTAGAAAGATGCGCATGAAGATATGATAATGTCATCGAATGATAGTACGATAGTATAATAACGTAATAATACGACGCTATAACAATATAGTCATACCTTCAACGTCTTCATAACAGAGATCAAGTAAATTCAGCGCATACACGCGCCATCGATGCAAACGGGTTAACAAAAGAAGTTCTTAGCACTTTAACAATCAAGTCGCTTCCCATGCAGTAACGTCTCTTCCCTGATAACGCACGCAGCGCGCGGACAGGACGGCCCACGTGTCCTCAAGGAAGGTAATGCACCAGAACCCATTCCGCGTCAGCTCCATTTCTGAAACCCTGTTTGTACCACAGCGGCGCGATCGATCGACGACAGGAATATCCTAGCTCTGTGGATCACGTTAAGCCTGGCAGCGATCATTCTAGCGGTGACGACTATCTTCTTCGTCCGTTTGATGCGCCGCAAGGAGCGAATCGAGGCGTTGTACGGCGTCGCGAGGCTAGACTTTCGGCGACCCGGTGACCTCGCGAAATCAGTCGTCTCGAAGAGCGACCGGTCGGTCCTGTCCGTCGACAGACGCCTCGAGCAGGTGATCGACGAGTCGAACGCGGCGAGAATGCCTAGGTAAACGACCCTCGAGGACTTTAAACCCCGATCGATCCTTGTCCCCCGTTGAAAGTCTCTCTGACGATACGCAGGTCTTGCTCGGAGCACCACTACGACGTCCCGCAGCTGTCGCTGCCGTCTACAGCCAGGCCGTCGCCGAGCTCTTCGGTGACCAGGTCCTCCTGCAGGAACTCGCAACGCGGCCGGGGATTGTCGGACAATGAGGAAGGCCGGTCGTCCCGTGAGGAGCGATTCTCTTGCTCGCGGTTCTCTTGTTCAATGAAATACGGAATATTAATCTCCAATCCAAAGAGAATATAACATCGGGCAGCTTGTATTTCATTGAACAAGAGACCCTAGATCAGCTATCAGCTGATCTAACGGTGGTTCGCTAGGTTCCACTTCTCACCCCAACGCGGAGAGCACCAACGAGGACGAGGATGATCCCGACGAGGACAACCCACTAGGAGACTACGACAAAAACCACGGTGACTCGGGTGGCTTCATCGTCAGGGCAGTGGTGGATGAGCAGGGAGCTCTTCTAGTAGTGCCTGAGGTTGGAGTCTCGATGTCCGTTCCGGAAGGAGCCATTCCCAGGGGTCGTCGACACAGTCTGCAGTTGGCCGTTCTCGGCGACGATTACCTGAGACCTGGTCTACCGCCTGGTTTGACGCTGGTGTCAGCGGTGGTGGCTTGTGGGCCGAACGACATCGACTTAGTGAAGCCGGTGATTCTTCAGTTCGAACACTGTGCGGAGCTCAGGACTGACAACTGGGAGCTGAGTTTGTGGACCACGGATCTCGACTTGGAGACACGGTCTAGCAACTCGACCAATTCGTCAACCAGCTCGAACGTTACTTCGTCGATGATGTGGCGAAAGATCCTGACGCTAGGCGGGGAGCCCATCAATCTGCCTGGACAGCCTTTCGCGCAGCTTGATCACGCGGGAGTGTTCTTGGTGACTGAGACGCCAAGCGCCTACGCAGTCGCCGGGGAGAACTCGTCCGTAGCTCCTGGGCTGGCTGTGAAGAGGATGTGCGTGGCTGTGTTCTTGTCCAGGGAGAGGGATCACATTAGGTGCCACCTGATCGAGGACACGAAGGCTGCCTACAAGCTTCTAATGGATAGGGTGAGTGTTTGAGACTCTCAAATTCATTCCTGGCATTATTTTACTGTTCTTAACTCTTGAAAGATGTAGCCTTGAATTAGCGATTTATTTCATTTTTCCCGTTTGCCTATGTTTGAGAACGTTGAAGCTCGTTTGACTTCGTTTGGTTATGTTTGATTACGTTTGAACACGCGCTATGTCCTCCAAATCCCTTCAGGAACGTCGTCTAGGTGGAAGCCGAGTGGAACACGGTACCCTAGGCTTCCGAGCAGGTGGCTCGCCCCTCCGCATTGAACTGGAAGACAGAGAGAGCGGATTCGTGGAAAGACAAGAGGTCCCTCACCGCAGAATCTGGTCGTCGAACAGGACGAGCGTAAGGCGATCGTTCAGAATCGAGAAAACCGTCGGCGAGATGAGGCTCAGCTTCGAGCTGCGCGCCTGCCAGTGCGGCTTCGAGGAGCACGCGCTGTTCCTGAGGATCGATCTGGACTTCATGAAGAGGAGCGGCTCGAACGGGAAAAGGTCCACCAAGATAGAGTCTTCTGTCATTTTACGAGGGAAAAACTCCGCGAGGTCTACGGAGTCCGTTGTTCCTAGGCCGTTCAGGTACTTTCACTTCACCCTCTCGGTTGATTGCGTATCGTAAAAATTCCGTTCAGCTGCAATCATTGTTACAAGAGATCTTTATTCCGCGCGAGGCCGAGCAGTCTGTCAGATGTCGGTTGATTTATTTACGAGTCCGGTTCGTTTAAGATTCTCAAAAACGCTGAGGAAGCAGCTCTGCCAGTGCCTGGACCCGCCTAGCGCCCGCGGCAACGATTGGAGGATGCTGGCACAAAGGCTGCAAGTGGACCGGTGAGATCCCATCAGCGATCCCGGGCCGCGCGCCGACGTAGGAGAGCGGTCCGGTTAAAATATCTGTCACGATCCCCATTTCAGATACGTCGATTACTTCGCGACGAAAGCGAGCCCGACGGAGCACATCCTGGACCTATGGGAGGCGAAACACCAGGAGGCCACTGCCCTCGCGGACCTCCTGAACCACTTGAGACTGATGGGACGCGTCGACGCGGCGAGCGTCCTGGAGAGCCGCCTCGGACCGTGGATCTGAGACCGGACGAACCACTGCCGTTTTACCAACCCACCGTTTGCAATTTTACAACGTTTTGTAAATAACAGAGTGACGCATCCGAGGCAAGCGAAGGATCGATGTAGAACCACGTTGTATAGAGACAGCAATCGTGTTTGTACATAAAGCTCGTTTATAGCAAACCTCTGCCTCTTCTCTGCATTCTCCTCCATTATTCCAAAAACGAAACGAGACCAACGGTTAACCCTTAACAAATCCTAATTAAATCCACTTTACACCTGTGGAATACTCCATGGAGCATTATTCCTCGCGAAATCCTCCACGGAACAATGGCTCGTACGCTAAATCTTTAAAGTCCTATAGGAATCCCATCCACGATACCGGTTCTCAGGGGCCAATAATCGTCCTACCCCTCGCATATCGGGCTTCCCGATGAAAAGGCGATAATAGCGGGACGCGAGCCCTTCACAGAATCCCCGGCGTCCGTCGCGATCCCATCGACAATGCGGACG